TTAGGTGACTCACACAAAGTTTCACAGCTAGTAAGTGGAGAGCTTAGTAAGTAGGCCAGAGCTCCCTTAGCAGGGCCAGGATCCCCTGAAAACTCAGGGCTTCCTCCCTTCAAAGTATCGGGCAAATCCCTGTGTCCTCAGGACCCCCTTCCTGTACAGGGATGTGTAGGCCTGTATGTTGGCTTAGAGGTTCACACAGACATCTCTGACCTTTCTTCTAAGAGGCAGATAATTCTCTTGTGGAACATAGGTTCGGCTTGGTGACTTGAGGCCATTAGACTGAGTGCTAATCTGACTCCAAAGGCAAGGTCATGAAAGGTCCCAGCAGCTTCCCGACTGGCCTCTCTATCCTGACCCATGTTTCAGGCCTCTCCAGCAGTGGAGAGATCTTGGAGTGGGTCTGCCAGGCTCAGTCAGGCCTTCAGGTGGCTGAGCCCAGCCAGCATCCTGGCTGCAGCTTCCTGAGAGGCCTGGCCACAGAAAAGTAAGACAGTGTGTTTGCATCCCTTAAGGGTCTTGTCCCCTCATCTGGCCCATGCAGCTGAAAGGGAGCTCCAAGATCAGGGCCGGCACCTGGTTAGCGCCCCTGAAGCAAGCTGAGTCCAGCAGGCTGCAGGCAGGCTGGCTGCTACTCACCTTTCCGGGTCCTGCAGGTGGCGCAGCAGGTGCACACTGTAGGAATCGGGTAGGGGCGCTGTCAGAGATGGCCCCACCCAAAGGGTCCAGGCCCGGCAAGCAGGAAGGCCCCAGAAGTGTGCGGAGAAGGGACCATCTCTGATTGAGCTTCCTCTAGGGTCAGCCCCACTTCCCACATCTAAGGAGATGGGCACTATGAAAGTTTCTCCTGGGAATACACCCCCCCCCAAAAAAAAAATCTCTCCTAGACCTTTTGATTCAGAGTCCTCCGGGAAACCTCCTCAGATTGATCCCTCAGTCCCAATGAGCTAGTGTCTGAGCACTTGGCAGAAGACCTAATTGGCTACTGCTTTGAACATTGCATTCAATGGTCTTGAGTCCATGTGGGCCTTGGCATATAGTAGGTGCTCACTGAATCCATGCTGACCCAGTGACTCAGTGTGGAAGGCTCTCTTCATTCTCTCACCTCTGTGCACCCTTCCTGGTGTCTAGGGCCAGCCATCCAGCGTGCTGTCCCTCTCAGTTCACTCTGCAGGGAGGCAGCTGGGTCAGCTCTGCAGGGGGAGGGGGCCAGCCTCACCCTGGGTGCTGAAAGCAGAGAACTATGCTTCTCCACCTACCGGCTCGGATCGTGTGCTCTCCTTGCCCCCCCCCCCAGGGGCCATTTGTGTGCTTGGCATGCGGCGGGCATGTGGAGGTGGGCTGGAGGGGGAGGCACAGACCCAGGGTCTCTGCCAGACGCTTGCACGCAGCATGAGCACACCAGCACAGCTTCCGAGTCTTCTCCCTCCTGTTTTCCTTCCTTGAGATGCAGGGAGCTAATGCAGGTCCTCCGTGGCTGAGCAGAGCACGCTCAGGGGTCCCTGGACCCACCCCATGGCGCTATGCGGCACCTCCCTCCCCTGCCTCCGGAAGCATGAATTTCAACATCTACATGCATCTTCTTGCTTACTTGTGCTCTTTCAAACTCTCTATTATTTTGTGTAACTTTTGTGTGTATGTATATGTGTGTGTGAGACCGCTTCTGCTTGTGAGTGTAGGGGAGAGGGTGAAGCTGGTTTCTTCTCTTGCCCTCTGCTTTGTTGTGAGGCGTGATGTCTCACTGAACCTGGAGCTAACTGCTTTGTCTAGATGGGCTGGCTGGGCCATGTCTCGGATTCTGCAGTGACTTCCCTCCAGGGCGGGCATTACAAGGTTATGCTCCTGCCCCAGCCTTTTCCATGGATGCTGGGGATCAGAATCTCACGCTATACAGTAAGCACCTTACCAGCTGAGTCATCTCGCCAGCTGCGGCTGTTACCCTCCCACATGCCTACCTACCTACCATCTATGTGTGCATGTATGTATGTGTCTATCTATCATCTACATATCTATCTATCTATCATCTCTCTATGTAGCTATGTACCTATCTATCATCTATGTGTCTATCTATCATCTATCAATCTATCTATCTGTCATCTAGCTATCTATCATCTATCTATCTGTCATCTATCTATCAATCTATCTATGTATCTGTCTGTCTATCTGTCTATCTGCCTCCCTCCCTATTTTCTTTCCCTGAAGGACTCGTCAAGTAGCTCTGGCCTGGAACTCACTATGTAAGTGAGCTGGTCTTGCACTCACAGAGAGCCTCCTGCCTCTGCTTCCTGAGTGCTGGGGTTACAGGCATATTTCAGCTCACCAGGCTGTGCTTTTACTTCATAGAAGAACCCATTATGGTTTGCACATTTCTATGGGGCATCCTGCTTTCAAGATTCACCAGCATCCATTGACACTAAGGCTTCCAGCTGCTACGTGGACAGGGCCTGCAGCCATGCCTTTACCTGTTCCCTCTCCTAAGTGGTCATCAGCTCCTGTCACCTCTCTCTCTCTCTCTCTCTCTCTCTCTCTGTCTCCTCACAATCCTAAAACATGACATGAGGGCCTTTTCCTCAAGAGCAAGCTAAAGGAACTGGGTCTGCTTCCTGCACAAGGTCAAACCCTCTGCTGTGATGCAGGCGATCTGTGGCTGGAAGCACACAGGACTGAGGGAAGGAAGTGGGCTCACAGGACTGAGCTGGAACACATGGTGACTGCCTCGGCGTGTGCTGTCAGCTTCCTTGTGGGGCATTTTCTGCATCCTAGGAGCTCAGTGTTGCCTAGCCAGGATGCCCCGTGTTTGTGTACTAGGTCCCCAGCTGGTGGTACTGCTTTGGAAGGCTGTGGGACCTTTGGGCGGTGGGACCTTGCTGGAGGAAGTGAGTCACGGGGGGAGGGCCTTAAGTTTTGATAGCCAGACCCCACTTCCAGTTCTCTTCCTATTTCTTGACCTCTGACCCAATGTGCCACAGCCTCATATTCTGGTTATGATGGTCTGTGCCTTCAAACCATGAGCCACAGGAAACCCTCTCTCCCTTCCACTGTTTGTCAGTCAGTTACTTAGTCACAGAAATGAGAAAAATGGCATACTGAAGCCCAGTTTGCTCCCCTACTCTGGGCTCCTTACCCCACTTTCCTCACACTGTGGACATCTGGGAAGGACAGGACATACCCAGATGACTTGACTTCCTCTGCCAGACTTTTCCCCAGGGACTCCATCTCTCACCTTGTGGACAGCAGCCCCAGCTCCACCATGGGCACTTCGGCCACATACCCAGGAAACAATCCACATCTCATGTGTCTTTCTTTCTGGAGTGATTTTGATTTAAGCCCCAGAGCAGCTGGGGAGAGTGCTACATTGCCTGACCTCCCCACCATGGCCCAGCACCCCCTCTCTGAAGGGAGGTCTCAGGATGGCAAGGGATCTCACCACATCTGCCAACACAACAAACCCCAACAAACCCTAAACCTTCTTCTGTCTGTTGCTGGGCTGGGAGCTGTTTCAGGCCTTGAAGACATCCCCATCATCTCTGAGACACCCCAACCTCCTGCCGTTTCATTCTGAGCCCTGGCCTGAAAAGTCTTCCAAGAAGAGGTATGGGCAGCAGAGTTAGACTCTGGTTCTGCAAGGCGTTGACAGAGTGCATGACCTCTCTGTGCCGGCTGCTTCTGCTTGGTTCTTCTCTATAATGACAAAGTAAACTCTTCAAGGGAGAGGACTCTTCAAGGCTTAGGACTGCCTGAGCCTGTTTCCCAGCCGAAGCAGGACTCCTTGCCTGACCTTTCAACTTCAGTGTGGGCCATTCCAATAGCAGAGCTCACACTGCCTCACAGAGAAGTGTTGCTGTCCTGAACACTTTCAGAGTTGTAAAGTGCCTTCTGAGACAAAGCAATAGGAGGATTTGTAGCAGTAGCTGCTTACTGCCTGGCACCAGGCATGGTCCTGAGTACTCTTACCCGGCTTATTCTAACTGGACACTCACAGCCAACACTCTCCCACCGGCAGTCCTGCCCTGCTTCTAGAGTGAAAACGCCTCCCATCAAAGGGATAAGACCTTCAAACCTAGAGGTAGGGCAAAGGGTACGGTCTTGGGCAGGGAAGAAGTGATGAATACCAAGGAATGTTGATGCTATTGAGTGATCAGTGTATTATCCTGTCCAGACCTTGTGCTAGCCCTCAGATTCAGGGTCTTTCAGGGGGTCACGAGAGCCCAGGTGCCTTTCATGGTGCCTCTTAAAGCACATAAGGGTCCACGTGTCCTGGGGATCCTGGGTGGCATGTTTAAGGGCAGGACTGACACTGTGAACATAACATATTTCCCCAACAGCCCGAGTCCTATTTCTTCTATAACAAGGAGGGGGAGAGGTGCTGACCCAGCCGCCACACTTCCTGCTGCCCACCACTTCCATCAGCAGCTGTGCTCTGCTCCCGAGTCACTGTCATCTCCTCAGGATCCATCTTGGAAACTAAGCTCCCTGTCCATGCGCTGACCTCAGCTCTAAGTGCTCACACTGCTGGACCTTGGGCTCAGTGTGGTCCTTGGTAGGTGCAGGCTGTGGGCATGCATAGTGAGTAGGCAGCCAGAGATGGAGTGGAGACAGTGGAGAAGGGGAGAGGAACTACTCATGGAGGAGGAAGGCCTGTGGTATCACCTGGCTGGGGGGGTGGAAGAAGATGCTCAGGTGGTCATGAGACCTGAGTGTGGGGCTAAAGAGAGTGGAGAGAGCTCTCAAAGCACAGACTTGCTCCTCACCCTGACTTGGCCCAGATGCCAGCACTCTGATTTCTCAGACAATGTCTCACCAGGGGGAGAGATAAATCTCTAACATGCCCAAGGCCAGCTCACTGAATGGCACACGTGGTGCTACGCTCCTCATCAGCCTGGTGCAACCTAACACATGTCTCTGTTGGTGACAGGTCAATGGGGTGAGGGACACCTTGTGTGCAAGCATGTGCCTCTTAATGGCGAGGCCCAAGAGTTCGAAAGGGAAGTGACACGACCTACCTGAGCTGCCGGCACTCTCAGAAGCACTCCTGGACATCTTGGGCTGGCCGTGCTTGCCGCTGGACCGCCCGGTCCCCGGCGGAGGGGGCCCTGAGGGAGCAGGGGCGCCATCACCCCTGATGGTGGTGAGGTCCTGCATGCTGAAGCTCCGTAGTCTCTCTGACAAGGCTCCCTGTCCCTGGACACGACACGGGAGAGCACAGGTCAGAGCCCTTTGGACAGTAGTGGGGACAGACATGAGATGTGACAAAGGCTGAGAGACTTTTGCTCTGTGAATAGACAAGGCAGAAACCAGCTATGGTTTGCCTCTGTTGAGGTTCCCAGGTAGACTTGCTGACGTGTGGGGTTACGTCGACAGCAAAGTTGTTTTTAGATATCATTTCTTCCTTTCCCCTTTCCTTTCCTTTCCTTTCCTTTCCTTTCCTTTCCTTTCCTTTCCTTTCCTTTCCTTTCCTTTCCTTTCCTTTCCTTTCCTTTCCTTTCCTTTCCTTTCCTTTCCTT